ATGTGAGAATTTAGCACAGGGCAGGAGAGTTAGCCTATTACACATATTTGACGTACCTTTGGTGGTTGTATACTGTTGTATCAATAGCTTATAAGCACATTGCAGTATGTGTAACCAGACCGATATACGGTTGTTTGTTATGCTCACAAACGCTGGTTATTGGTATCTAATTAATCATATTAAAGAATTTAGTGGACGGTTGTATGTTCAACCTTCAAGATATCCTGGTTATAAGTCTGAACCGAAATCTTCCACTACTAACACTTAACAAGTTCATCCTAAACACAACGAAATAAAATGGCGTATTTGCTTCTACTTACAGAGCGTTCCAACGGGCCGCACTGAACAATGGCACACTTCAGGGGTGCTGTCCCACCTCAAATGACTCCCTACTTAGTGTGCACCCCTTTATAAAGCCGTGCACAGACATATGAGAGAGCCCCTCCGTCACACCAAAACCAAGACGGTCTACGTTTTGCCTTCGGGCCGCTTTTCTGGGTTAAAATGACTAACCCTGGGGACTAAACCCGGGTCATAAATAAAATCCCTGACCAAAGCCCTAACGACTTCTATGTGTCCTGTGCAGTTTTGTCTCCGCTATCTAAGATGCTATCTTATATTATGTCTATGAGTTAAATAGTTTTTGAGATATTTTAACTAGAAGGGGTGGGGACCACTATGGATGAAGTTGAAAACCCCTTTAATGACTAAATGTTAAACTATCATGTAACGATGGAGACTTGTAAATATGCTACGGAATAGTGACTAAAATCCCCTCCCCTACTGGATATAATTTATAACTTGATACGCTAGGGTTCCTGAGCAATAAATTATTGAATTTATAACTGAAGGCCACATCGTGGTATTTAAGTATTCCCCCCCCCCCCTATGGGAGAGAGAAGCCGGCCGTACAGAGGCCGTACGGACTGGGGTGAAAGAGATACCTGATGGCAACATTTCGATCTAGTTTATAACTTGATACGCTAGGGTTGCTGAGCAATAAATTATTGAATTTAAAACTGAAGGCCACATCGTGGTATTTAAGTATTCCCCCCCCCCCTATGGGAGAGAGAAGCCGGCCGTACAGAGGCCGTACGGACTGGGGTGAAAGAGATACCTGATGTCAACATTTCGATCTAGTGTTAGCCGAGGTCACTCACACAGCGCGTTGGGCGCCCAACATGGTTTTCGTACTAATAGCGATTGTTTCAAAATAACGGGGCATACACTGCCACACTCACTTTGAACATAATGCAGCTCAATTCAAGGGCTACTACTGTAGTCGAAAATTGCCTTGATCATCTTCGCGTGCGAATGACGAAAAATAATAATATTCGGTTCGGTAAACCCCTGGTGTCCTGCCACCCCCCCCCCTCCTCTGGAACCGCCTGACCTGCACCGAGTAACCCTTAACCAGACGACACATACTAACACACCCTGTTTGCTTAAAGTATTTTTAGAAGAAAAAAAAAGTCCTAATGCAACAAAAGTCTTACGAAATTAAATTTTTATTGAAACATCAAACTTTACAGTGCAAAAGTATAGAGTAGCAGAGAAAAGTGAAGTGAAATCCCAGACAGCAAACAAAAGACTTTCATCTGTACCTCGTTTGTCCAAATTTTCACAAGGGTCACATGGAGCTGCAATCGTCGTCACACATTCATCCATTTTTTGTCGTTCATTAAAATAATTACCGGTATCTTACGTTTGCAGCCCTCCATTGTTTTGTTTGAAGTCTTTTTCACAGAAATTTCATTGTGTTTAATGAAAACATCATATCCATGAGTGTAAAATGGAAAGAATAGGAAGAAAATCACTCCAGAGTACCAACAAATGCTAGACATTGTGTATTTTCAACGGAATAGTCTTGACAACATCTTTTAAATGAAAGATCCACATAATGACCTTGACCACATCATTTAAATGAATGATTCATAGAATAGTCTTGACCAACTAATTTAAGTTAATGATCCATGGAATAGCCTTGACCACATCATTTAAATGAATGATCCATGGAATAGTCTCGAACACCTCATTTAAGTGAATGATCAATGGAATAGTCATGACCACATCATTTAAGTGAATGATTTATGGAATAGTCTTGACCACCTCATTTAAGTGAATGATTCATAGAATAGTCTTGACCACCTCATATAAGTGAATGATTTATAGAGTAGCCTTGACCACATCATTTAAATGAATGATCAATGGAATAGTCTTGACCACATCATTTAAGTGAATGATCCATTGAATAGTCTTCACCACATCATTTAAGTGAATGATCCATGGAATAGCCTTGACCACCTCATTTAAGTGAATGATCCATGGAATAGCCTTGACCACCTCATTTAAGTGAACGATCAATGGAATAGTCTTGATCACATCATTTAAGTGAATGATCCATGGAATAGTCTTGATCACATCATTTAAATGAATGATCCATGGAATAGTCTTCACCACATCATTTAAATGAATGATCATTGGAATAGTCTTGACCACCACATTTAAGTGAATGATCCACAGAATGGTCTTGACCACATCATTTAAGTGAATTATTCAAAGAATAGTCTTGACAACATCATTTAAAAGAATGATCCATGGAATAGTGTTGACCACCTCATATAAGTGAATGATCCACAGAATGGTCATGACCACATCATTTAAGTGAATTATTCATAGAATAGTCTTGACCACCTCATTTAAGTGAATGATCCATGGAATAGTCTAGACCACATCATTTAAATGAATGCTTCATAGAATAGCCTTGACCACATCATTTAAGTGAAGGATCCACAAAATCGTCTTGATTATATGATTTAAGTGAATGACCTGTAGAATGGTTTTGACCACATCATTTAAGTGAATGCAATGCTTACATATAATCAAGGTCAATGGAGATAATTTCCAGTTAGGCCAGACATGTCGTGTAGCTAACCTTAGGGCCACCCAAAGTTCATGTACGAGAAACATGATATCTACCATAACAACATTATGACGAACATGATATGCAAAACAAAGTCAAACTTTTAAAATAATTACTGGTATCTTACGTTTCTTCACGCTGTACAATTTTTATTTCAGCCAAATAGTTCGCTTAACGTTGTCATTTCGGTTGCGAGTTCGGTTAACGTTGTCAATTCTGTCGCAAGTTCACTTTAAAAACAAAATGAAGCAAGAGTATGAATTCATTTTATAAATTATGTATTTTTTAGGTGATAATATATATTTAGGGCTATATATAAAATATTTTTATTCACAGCCTTTGCATTCCTCTTGCTGTCCTCTCGAATACAAAATTACAGCTAAGAGGTTCTTTTATTTAATTCTATTTTTACTGCAGTTTGTTCGCCGATGAAGGCTTCTTGCCGACACAATCATTGTTTTGTTGCGTTCTTGTTTTTTTTTTTTCCAGGTTTTCCCATACTTAGTTTCCCTCATTTCCATTTTTCATGCCTGATTGCAGTCTATCCCCATAATTACCATTCATGTTAGAAGGATGTGCTTCAATATACGCACATCTTAAAACTTGAATTCTCATAAACTGAATTTCAGAATCAGACTTCTGTAGCGTTGAGGTCAAGTTGATCAGATTTCCTAATCAAATTATTAAAGATCGAGACGAATTTTCTTTTGATGATAAAATAAAAGAGGTGAGTTCTGTATACTCTCTAAACGTTTAGTTCCATCCTGATAATAGCTGGAATCAATATAAATATCAAATCAATCAATTTAAAAATGGATTATTATGGGGAAACTACGATCCTTTTGTAACAAAATTAACACGTGGGAAGGGAAAACCTGAAGGAAACAAAATGACATACCACAAACCAAGGTGTCTGAAAAAAAGTAAGATGAAAATAAAATAAAGTTATAAGTTGATAGTTTAAGGATGGAAAGCTTTGTCTAGTCCGAGAAAAGGACTCGTTGAGTGAGAAAGATCCACTACTCAAGACGTTGTTCACCTTATCCTACTGACGCTCTGTTCTTGACATCACAAGTGACGGGCTGACGAAGGTGGAAGTCAGGTGCAGGATCTGTGCCCCCCCCCCTCCCCCCAATGAGCGAAAGGATTTGGTAAGAGCATATCTATGTCTAAACTACAACTACCCATTCAAAGTTCTCATTTTTTAGTTCATAATATTTTTGTTTTAAATTTTGTATATAGATTTGTTTTAATTTATCGAAGAATGTATTATACTTTGGTCAAAAGGTCAAATCCAGGTTGCTTGAAGAACAAAGAATTTCAAATCCTGCTAAAAACTACCAAATGATCATCAAGTTCCAAGAAGAAGTGAAAGTCCTTGATGACAATGAGAGAGTTTCTGCGTATGCAGCAGACCTGGCAGCTGACTGTCATGTGGAGATCATCCCAAGGAAATAAGTGCCAGTTTTGTAGACAGTTGAGTTGATGGAACAACTAGTGCAGTAAAGATAACTGCTGATCTGTTCCTGTTGACTTCGATTGGAGAAAATAAAGTAACAATATATTTTTTGTGATAATCACTGTGTGTTTTTTTATAGACCTAATTTATTTCTTTTCTTGTTTGCCTTTTTTCTACCTTAGAAGTTACCCTAAACATATTAAACAATGGACTGGATGTGTCAATGTGTGTATTGGTCAGAATGTTTCTATTCATGGGGCTGTGTCAATGTGTGTGTGTATCTGTGCCAATGTGTGTATTGGTCAGAATGTTTCTTTTCATGGGGTTATTTGTTATCATGTTACTATGTTCTTTCAAATTTAATTCCTTAGGACCTTAGGATATTTAGAGGAACAGTACCAGCTGGTTCTTCCTCTTTGTAACCCTGCACATTAGCAAACAAAATCAAAGCAAGCTGTACAAATCTTTCATCTGCAGCACCTTTAGTTAAGTTCTAATGTAACTTCCTTTGAAAAATACTTTATTTTACTTAAGAATATATAAATTATATTTTCTCCTACAATTTTAAATTACTATTATTTTAACTTTAACCATTTATAAATAACTCGAATTCAAAAAGAAAAAAAAATGGAAGTCTTTTATTGTCTAGTTCATGTAGCATAAATCAAAAAGTTAGAACATTATGAATTGTCATGTACAAACTAAGCCTCACTGTAGCAAAAGATTTATACTTCAAATTGACGAAAATACAGCTACACATCTGGAAACTATCCAATAATAATTACAATTTTCATGTGATAACATTTCTTCACAAATTGGCCCACCAATAAAAAAAATACTTTTCTAATCTGTTCAGCTCAGAGGAAACCCAACAGGAAACAGCTGCCTTCTCAATGGTATACACATTTCAAAGTCACAATAGATTGGTTTGTTCATTTAAATGATAAGATCAGATCTTTTCTTAAAATTATGAAAATATCTTAAAAATCCAAGTGGAGAGATATAATGTATGATGTACAAAATATATTTGAGTATATTCAACCAATTATTCACAATATTCCAAGTGTTATCAGGCAAACCACACATCCAAGGAAAAAAAAAGTTATTTTTATAAAAACAAGAGCCTAGAGCTGTACAACAGTATGACAGTCTTTACAAAGGAAATTCTTACTTGGGTTAAGTTCCTAAAAATGTGTCAACTCAGAATGAAATGTTGTTGAAAAGTTCACAAACAAACTGCAATTAGGTTAAAAAAATATCATTCCTTCATTCATAGGACACCGTCAAACCAGAGTATCTTGCATAATTTTCGGACATACAACATCCATACAGTATATGCTACAAGTATTTAGAAAATCACCACGAAAGGGTACACAGTGAAATGAACTCCCACCAGTATATTCAGATACATGTCAATATTTTCCCATGTCTTACATACTGAGGTGGTTGTTACACCATCACTCGTTTCACTTGTGCTAACAATCCACAATTTCAATGTCTGAAAGTTCAAGGCTGTACAAAGTTACTAGTTACTAACTTAAAACAAAAATTTAAGAACTGTACAAAAAATTTCCAATAAACTGTTATTTACATTTTGAGGAATGTGAACAGGGTTACACAGAAGTCTATCAGCAACTACGTACAGCCACACTTCATTCAATCAAAAATGTCAACATTACATTTACAATAATCTTATTCAAACCTTTTTTTTTAATGATTATAAACTTTGGAGGCTAATTGCTTGTAAACATGCTAAGTTACCAAGTGTATACTGTCACATCTGAATATATGTTTACTGTGCAATGAACACTCCAGACAAAAAAATGTTTATGTTGAGGCATTATCGGTAAAATGATCTTAACAATAGCATAGAGTTTTCTTCTTAACATGTTGATTAGACTTTCTTAACATGCTCATTACAGTTTTCTTAACAATCTTATTTGAATTACTTTAAACTGAAATGATGAAAAGATGCAGGAGTACTACATAACTATGACTACAGAACCTTTCAAATAGTTTCTTTATTAAAATAAGAATCTGTCACAATGAGATGTTAGTCACAAATGGAGAATACTTCAGTTTCGCTTACTCTGTGAGAAAGTTAGGATTACAATTGTGCACCCATCATGCACACAAAAATTAGCACTTTTTAGATAAAAGTTGAATGGTCAACGGTAGTCTGTAAGATTTGTTTTCCTCTTAGAGCAAAGCAAAAACAAAAGGAAAAACTATCTAACACGCACAAACCCTTACAAATGAACCAGAACATGTACCATGGTGACAAGGAGTGTTGTCATCAATGTTAGAATAAATGATGGTGAGCTTGATGGAGGAAGAGAAGGGCAGTTAGGTCCTTGGCACTCAGTGGTCTCTGTTTAGAGAAAGAAAATATGTAACATTGAGACATTTCTATTAAATGGGTTTTGTTACATAATGTTGAAAATATCTATAATCAAATATATGGACTATACAAATAATACAATACACAGTCATCCCGGTGTTTGACATTTGAGTTAGGCTTGATAAAATGAAAACCTTTTAACTCCAATGTCATGTAAAATGACAACATCAGTAGATCATCTGGCCTCTCATGAACTAATTATGTCTTCTTTACTCCTACCAAATGTTTTAAAATGTTATTTTATACTATAATAATTACTTCATTAGAGAAATTACACAACTTGAGCAATATATCTAATTCCCAGGCACTTCACAAGCTTCACTAAAATACGGTCTTCCAAATATTACATACCCTGGGGATGGGGTGTTTATTATTTAGGAGAGACATCCAAAAGTGTATGTTTGAAACAGGGACTTAATGATAATATTACTTTTTTGCGTAAATTAAAAATGGATGAAACCACACTATTTGATAGTTTACATTATTTATCAAAAACATGTCCCTCTGTACATTGACTTTTTTTTAGAACTTCAAGTACATACGTTTGATTTGTCATTAAAATCTATCTGTTTTTTATTGTGTTGTCTGCTGAAGATGGCAGGATCTTTCTGAAGCATCCACTTAATTGTCTTATCTTTTATTTTAAAGACCTACAACATCTCTAGATCCTCTATTTATTTACCATGCAAAAATAAGCACAGAGCACATGATAGGCTTACCAAACAGAACAATTGTTGAATTAGACTTTCCGAAGTTGTTTTCAGCTATACAGAAATAGGTTGTGTAGTCATTGGCCTGCACATTCTTGATCTTCATTGTATACCACTGCTCCATGGCTTTCAGATTCTGGTTGTCTGTAGTCTGCTTGTTGATGTCAAACTTGTCATCATCAGTAATACGCACACGACCTGTGTTGACCACACGCTCCCATGTAACTGTTGGCTCCGGGTGACCTAATGGTGAAATAAATATATCATAAAGATTAACTTCAGAGATTGTAATAATTAAACATGATGGACATCATTTACGGGTCTACTTCAGGAGCTGTTAACAAGGGCTGGGAAACACATGCTTTTTTTTGAAGAACACCCCCCCCCCCACAAAAACAAAACAAAAAACAAAACAGCACAATTTTGTGTGGTAATGACAAAATTTGTAGTACTGCAGAGAGATATGTTGGCTACGGGTGAACTAATGGTGAAATAAATATATCATACATATTAACTTCAGAGATTGTAATAATTAAACATGATGGACATCATTTACGGGTACACTGCAGGAGCTGGTAACAAGGGCTGGGAAACACATGCTTTTTTTTGAAGAACACCCCCCCCCCCACAAAAACAAAACAAAAAACAAAACAGCACAATTTTGTGTGGTAATGACAAAATTTGTAGTACTGCAGAGAGATATAAAAATAGTGGCATATGAAGGGGTGCAGAAAGGGCAGCACTATATTCATTACTTTAAAAAAAAATTAAGGGCAGGCATTTGCAGTCAAGTGCATAAAATCCTAGCCCACCCCAAGCAGCTCTAGCCGCTGAGTAAAATTAAATGATGCACCTATTTCTATTAGAGAATTACCATAAAAAAAATTAATGGCTGTAATGTAAAATTAAGTATTTAACGTTTATGTGTAATAGAAAAAATTCTGAGTTGGCTCGAGACCATTAATTTGTTTACTGTGTAAGTACAAAAAATATTTTTAGTACTTACTGAAATTACCCATTTTAAAAAAAATGTATTTTATTTTTTTCCTAGCATCCTTATAGTGCCATAAGCGTAGGCCTCAAATCGTAGTCATAATGGCATTATCTTAGAGGTAAACAGGTTTGATAATGTCAGCAACTTATTTCCCCCATTTTTTCAAATAACTTTCCCACTCTCTGTATAACAGGTGATATTTTATAAACAAATACATACCTTGCACAATACACTCTATTTTGGCATGAAACCTTCTGTTCTGTGCCTGGCCAACAGAATCTTGCACCACACGAGTTTTAGGTGCATGGAAAACCAAGACCTCGGCCAAGTGTTCAGCTGGCGGTTTGATGTTGTTGTCAGCAACACAACGATACACACCCATGTGTTGGATGTCAACATTAACCAACGGAAGTTGGGGACTCTATCAAAACAAATGTACAGAATGGTTTCAACAACTGACACAAAAGATTTGTTTAAAAATGCTTAGCTTTATAATTAATTTTCCAAAATTCTCCAAGAAGCTTTTTCTCATAATAGATATACACAGTCTGTTTACATTATATTTCTAGGAAAAGTTATTAAAAAAAAGACATCTTTATACTCAATAAACTTTACAGTATATTTTTCTTTTATAATACCGGTATTCTAAAACTGAACATTTTGCTGTGATCTTAAAATTCATTAAGCCTTGTTGCCCAAATCATGATTGGAATGCATAGATATCTGAATGCTAGAAATAAACATGACCTGTTCAAGTTAATAAAATAAAAGCTAGAAGATGAATTCCAGTATTTAAAAAAAAATATAAACATTGCTGTAAAACAAATACTGTTATAAATTGTATGAGGAAATTATGTCCTCACTTTATATAAGCTAATATTAAATGGCCTCTTTGAGCATAGTTTATGGAATGGATGAACAGAATGAACTCAAATATATTTTAACAGTTGTGAGTTGAGGAAATATTAGGGCACTCAATTCCTAGGTAATAGGACCTTGTAAGAAAGGTAACAACTTACTGTATACCAGACCTGTTTACTCTTACAATTTTGGCGTACAATGTACGATTTTGAGATGTATACATAAATATATACTGTAAGTTTATTTTTTACTATTAAGATAATGTATTGAACTATTTTGTGATGACATTGTACAATTTAAGAGTTTGAGAGTAAACAGGTCTGGTATACTGAGCAATAAGGCCTTGTAAGACAGGTAATAAATTACTATATTACGGGCAATAGGGCCTTGTAAGACAGGTAACAACTTACTCTATACTGGGCAACAGGGTTTGGTATGACAGGTAACAAGCCGCCATCTGATCTTGTCCAGGTAATGTTGGGGTAAGGAATACCTGTGGCTGCACACTGCAAACTTGAGTTCTCTCCCCTGTTGACCTGTAGTACAGCTGTGGTGTCACCTGCCCTGATGGTTGGAGCCACTGAAACATTGAAAACAAATGTGGTTAAAACATTGCAACCATCAATGATCCTATAACATGGTTTCTGACTTAACCAGCAGAACTGAAATCTAGTCAAACATTAAATGATAGTCAGGACTGCAAGGGTGCCACTCACTAAAAGCTGTGAACCCTGAAATCCTTTTCTAAAAATTTCTTGAAACCTGAATTTTCATTTACACATTTTTCAAACCCTGAAACTTAACAAAACTCATTAAGTTCATACTGCAATGATTACAAACGAAAGCGAGCGGTCACAGTTAAAAAGATGTAATTTGAGTGTTTTGAAGACTGTGATGGTTGGGATATTGTGGATGTTTAATGAAAGAGAATTCCAGTGTTTAAGGACACAGAAAGGTCTCAGTCTTGACAAAGAAAAAACAATTTTATTTTCTTGTGTGAAATTCTTAATTTTTTCTTTTAAGATTATAATTTTGTTCCAGTTGAATAAAGCGTAAAATTTCTACCCAAGACAGTTCTGCATCAGCATATTCCCTATTATTATCAAAGACAAAAAGAATTATTTGAAACATAAAAAAAATAAAACAAAGAAATTACAAAAAAGGGACAGCTGACCTTGAACTATCAGTGACCCTCTCTTCCTTGGCCACTGGTTGTCAGATACGGACTGGATTCGAACAGTGCATGTGTAGTTTCCTGCATCTTGTTGCCGCAAACGTCTGATGACCAACATATATGTAACCCGGTCTACGGTTCTCCTGATCTGTACCTCATACTTCCGCAATCCTCCCAAAATATCATTCTTGACCTCAATGGTTTCTCCAACAGAAATTGTTTGTGAGTACTGCTCATGATACCAGGTCACCTAAGTTAGGAAGATGATCAAATGAAATTAAATTTGTGGGGACATGGATTTTTTCAATGGTACCCTTAATGGCAAAGTTGGAAAACTTAAAAAATATATGTAAAAAGTTTCCTAGTTCATAAAATGCACACATTTCTGCAATATTAATCCACTGAAAGATGCCCTTGATCATGTGAGTGTCTCTCTTGTATATAACACAACTGAGTTAAAATTATAAGAGAACAATCTAAATCAAATTAACAGATTAACATCTATAAAGTTTTAACAGATTGTGCAACATATCAGCTTTTTTCAAATATAGTGTAAACAAGATATGATGAAGTTGAGAGTGGCATTATTTTGGTTGCTCCAACTCCTTTAAATGATTTACTCAGACTTTTAATGCCATTGCCAGGCTTTTAACATATTTTATAAATGACTTTGCCAGGATTAAATTTTAGAAAAATATATCTGAAATCTCTGATAACCTTTTCAAATAAAATTATTTCTTTTAAACACATAGGCCCAAATAAAATGGATGGTTATTTAAAAGATGTTAATGCAACATCGTTATATTATATAAAACAGACTTACAGTGTTCTCACCCAAACGTGCAACTGTACAGTTGATGCGACCAGTACGCCCTATTGGCTGAACTTCGGGCCAGATTTCATCTACAATCTCAGGTTGTTGGGCAGAAACTACAACAAAAAATATTTAATTATAGTAATTAATCATTTAGATCAAATTACATTTTGCGCACTGTGTTACATGCATTAGTAGGCATTGTCATGGGGAAAATGTTATTTTTATTTAATTTGTGGTTAAAATTGTTAATTTACATTAATAGATTTACGTCGTAACATAATTAATACTAATACTATATACAACTAACCCTATGACATAAAAATAAAATGGTTTCATGGCTAACTAAACTTTAAATAACTACATTGTCTAACAATTATCATGATTTATGAGCGCCGTATACCCCTTACATTTGTCTTTGACTAGTTAATTTGACTTACTGTACAGTACAACTTTAGACCAAAGTAGTATATTTATGTCAATTATATAATATATACTAAAGGATAAATGACATTTACTGGTAAAATGTAGTTTAAACTGACCAACTAGTAGGTCTACCCACTGAACCTACTCAGCTACAACTTTTGTATGAGTTTAGCGTGAGTGATAGTCTCAGATCTGAACAGATAGTGGTGAAAACACAACATCACATCTTTTACTTAAAACAACAAAATCTCAACGTTTTACCCTAAAGAATAGAAATAACAATACCGTAACACGCTAAGGACAAAGCTGTAATTAAAACTGTGCCAAGAAAAGCCATGATTTTATCGTTTTTTGTTGTCACGGCCTCATGAATACGTGCTATACTTCAAACATAAACCTAACAAACATCACCGGAAGCAGGAAGTATCAATGCCCATAACAGGTGCGCAGTGTACCTGACAGGCGACAGAGGACACAGGTAATATAGGACAGGTAGTTATGAGCATGCGCACCAACTACCGGAAATAATTTTATCAGGTCTATAAGTTGGTAAAGGCGTCTTTTATAGAAGGGAAAATAATTAACCAACAAGATTTGCCTCAAAATGGGCACAGGTCATTTTATTGTTCTATGTTATTGCTTGTCATCCCTGGTAACAGGTAAGCTCATCCAGTTATTGAGTTATATTAAACAATATTTGATTTCACTCTTAGTAAGTCTAAATTAAACTTGCTGCCAATGATAATTTTGATTCTTGAATAAGTGATACTTCCGTGTTTGTCAATTCTATACTAAAAGTTACTACTTAAGTTGTAAAGTTTCATCTTAACTGTATTATCAATACACATGAAACTGAAAAAACCAGCCCAAAAATGATGGTTTTCCTGTTTGTTTGTTTTGTATTTGTTAATTAGATTATCTTGAGCACATCATTGACATCATATTAATTAAAATACGGCTAGGCTACTAAACTAACACTACCTGACTTAGGCAGGTTACTACTAAACTAGACTTAAACTTACAAACCATTCAATCGCTTTGCAATATTATTGAATATTCAATATTATCAGAATATACTATTACTACCATCAAGTCCTCATTTTTAAAAAAAATATTTTCTTATCCATGTCATCCAGTCAGTGTCAAAAGTAGTGTATTTTGTGTTCATGAGTTCATGCTGAGATTTGAATTAAAGTTATAAAAAAAGTTCAAAACTGAAAGCCAGTGAAACCAAAAAAAAAAATATTTAAATTGCAGGCGTGATAGATAACTTTTATTAAGTAAAGGGTTTAAATTCCCCTGTCTTTCACTTAATTATGTGAATATCTGGTAATTTCATTTTGTATTACTTGGCCTACTGCTTACATCAAATCTATTTTTATTATTCTCCAGTGGTCAGTGCTGATGACCCCAAAGTAAACATTAGTGAGACAGACCCTCCTGTAAATCCAGTCTACAAGATGATAATACAAGAGCAGGACAAGGATGCACAGATGATATGTGTTGTGGAGAACCGACCTGTCGATGTTGAGGTGCATAACATAACACTTGTAACTTGTCAGATTTCATTAGATGTTCAAAATGAGGAAAAATACAGATTTTGACCAGTGTCAGCTTCTACAGGGTGGGCCAATAAAAGTGAGAACATCTTGTAAAATGTGATTTAATCACATCAAATTTAGTTTAACTATACCCCTACTAGCTTAAAGTTGTTGAGAACCAAGGAGGACACATTGAACATGATTTCTGATTAGCTAAATATTTTGCACAAAGAAAATTCCATGAAGAATTATAATTAATTGAATTATATATTGAAATAACTCATATGCTATGAGATGTTCTCACTTTTATTGGCCCACCCTGTATAGTAGAATGAGAAGTGAGGAACACTACAATTGACAGAAATATTTGTTAAATTTAGACTGTTTAATTTTCTATCATAGAGGCATGATAATTCCTCTCTCAATCTTCATAGATCATAGTTATAAGTCTTCATTGATCACATTATCCATAATTTTTGCCTTCATTTCAATATCAGGTGCAATGGACTGTGCAGGCAAACCGTGGCAATGCCAGTCTCATTCAGATTGCAACAGGGACCCGGTCGTACGATGCTTTCCGCTGGGCTATTGATAAACCATCCCCAACAGCATGGCGTCTTCGTATTCAGAATGTACAACCCACAGATGAGGGATCATACACATGTAAAGTTCAGGTCGGAGCGCAGAACTATGTGACAAGTGTAAGAGAGCTTCGAGTTGTCCGTAAGTGATTTGTTTGAGTTTAGTCAGAATTCTTCTTTTCTAAGTACTTATAGACAATAAACTTTTAATGTTGGCCGCAAATTGTTTTTTTACATGTAAAAGAAGTATTCCATAATCTTTCATAAGACTTGCCATGGTATTGAACTGGTTTTCAGCTCTCTTAATATGGTTGAATATCTCATAACTGCTGGTACCAGTAGTGTAGCAATTAAGAGCCCTCAGATTCCTAGTAACTTTATTATAATGAACTATGTGCAGTTGCCAGCTGTTATCAATTCTTTAAAATGTTTCTCATTATTTCATAGTGTTGTGCTCATTTAGCAAGCGATCATGACAGTATACCCTGTATCTCATCAATGTGCCATTAGTTCATTACCCTAAATTGAGCTTTAAATAATTCATCACTTATCTTTCATAAATAAGACATCTTTAAATTCATTCATTAATGGCTAAGTTATCTCTGGCAATTATGTATCAATTTGCATAGTTTAAAAATATAGTTCTTTTAAACTACTTGTCTTAGTAGACTGATTTATTTAATAAGAATTTTTCCCTTCAGAGAAGCCCCAGATTTCTGACCTTGACACCAGCACAGATATGACCAAGAATGCAGATGACCCTGCTAAGTTGGAGTGTTACGCTAACGGTAGACCCAAGCCTTTAATTAAGTGGACAAGAATGGCAGGGGAGCTCTTGCCGAATGGGGGAACAGAGTTTCAAGCAAGTCTCATATTTTATCTCAATTTAAATTAATCAGTTTTTAACAGGTCTTGATTTCTATTTGTTTTTCAAGATAAATGAATTATTTTGAAAGTTTTAAAATACAGAATTCATTAAACATTAAGATTTTTTAATGCTTTTCATTTCTGGTCATATTTAGGGAAATGTGCTCAACATAAACCGCATTGAGTCTGATCATGCTGGAATCTACAAGTGCACAGCTGAAAATTCTGCTGGTATGGACTACAGAGAGATCAGAGTGACCGTCAATTGTGAGTCAGTAAACTTTAGTGGGGCAAATTTAAAATTAATTGATCTTTGTTACTAGGATTTGTTATTATGCTTTGAACTGATTTTTTTTAAAGGTATTATTTATCATGAAATTTATATATGACCTTTGACCTAAAGCAGCTGTCACATTATTATTATACTCCATTTTATTTTTTATTAATTGAAGTTACTCACCACACCATTTAAGCTTTAAACAGTTCCTTGGCTGTTTTGGTGAGAAGCTTCAGCAAAAGAAATCATTAATGAAAAAACTTGTATGGAATGTATTGTTTCCATCTAACTTTTAGATAAAGTGTCCGCCAATGGTTTTCTCTTTTAATTAATTTTCTTCAATTCAAAATCTTGTGCAACAACCATTGACATCCGCTGAATAAATTAAACCGATAAAATATTGGTTTTAATGCTTCCTAAATTGTTATATTTTAAAGAAAATTTTTCTTTCTCAGTTCGTCCTGAGGTCTACACAGGGACCCCTGTTGCCCGTCAAGCTATTGGCTACACTAAAGAATTGGTGTGTAACATTAAGGGATACCCTCCACCTGGTGGAAACCAAATTGCCTGGTCAAGAGAGAGCCGGCCCATCATTTCTGGTGGAAGGTCAGTTTTTTGTTTTAGTTGTGAGGACTTTTTAACTGTCAAATGCAAACGTGCAATGTTTTCAACATTTTTTTAATAACTTTGATACCTATCTCTAAAATATACAAAACTAATGGAAAATGAATCAGGGCCCATATTATTATAGATATTCTGAGTAAATTGGACAGGGAATCAAATAGTTTGAATTCCGAAATTCTGTGTGAAATGAATATGACCTTGACCTTTCAACAGTGACAAAAATTGTGCTACTGTTTATCTTTCCTCAACCCACACTGACTGTTGGGTCTTTTTTATAATCTAAATATGTTATAAAGACAGAGGAAAATTATTCTTTCAGTTTATAAAATACAACGTTATTTGGGTTTATAGAATTTAAAGTGAAATTTTTTTTATTGGTGACCTACATATTTCCTTACATCATTCATATTAAATTCATTAGTTCCCTATTCACCGCTGCAGTACTTTCACTATTAGCACTTGAACTGCGACTAGTAATAGCTTCACTATAATAATTATCAATACCATGAGTAATGCCAACTAAGCTATCTTCAAAATCACTTTCATAAAATAATAATTTAATAAATTAGGGTTTTGTTTAGCAGGACCTACCTTGGAGTCCTACAAGTTATTTTAAACAAAACAACAAAAAGTAACCCTCAGAAATTTCTGCTGGATTAAAAATTAAAAAACAGCAACAAAAAAAACATGTACATATGAAATATTTACCTTAGTTTAATATAATTAAGAAATATGATTATCACAGAAGTAAATCTACTTTATGAGAGTTGACCCCCTTTAAATAAAAAAAAAATTTGATTCACATTTATGATAATAATAAGTGGTCTTATATAGCGCGGTACCCCAGCCTAGGGCTGGGCTCACCGCGGTGTACATAAAAATTTTATCAAAAGGGACATAATCATGACATTAATGGTTTAATTAAGATAATAAAGAGGACACCAAAAAAAAAAAAGAAAGATTCTACTGGTTCTTTAAAACTTGTTTTCACTTCAGATATGAAATTCGTAACATTCCTGGCGCATCCAATCGAATTACTAGCATTTTGGTCGTATGGAATGTTCAGAGTTCAGACTTTGGAAGGTACCAGTGCTCGGCAGAGAATGACAAAGGATCACGTTATGTAACAATGGAATTACAAAGTAAGTGTTAAACCACTGAGTTGAAATTGAATAGACTGTGTAAGATAGTGAACTTGTTAATAACTTATTTAATACACATTGTTACATACCATTAATTGGTTTTGTAAGTTTAATGAGCATTAAGATTTTGTTAGTTTATATGAACAATATTTAACACAGGACTGATAACCAGTATATACAGAAAAACAATACATAAGCTAGTGATATTAACAATATTCAATTTATTTATCCTTTTAAATTTATATTTTTAAACAATCCAGTATTGAGTATACTCCTCAAGTTAAAAATGTTAATATGCACTCACATGCACAAAGAGTAAAATCCATAAGAGTAAAGTATATTAAGTCTCATCAGTTTTGTGTCTGGAAATCTAGAAAAGTTTCTTCCAGCTGGGAAACCTGCTGGCTTTTTTATAAGTAGGGAGTTAGAACCTTTCAGAAAAGAAATTTAATAAGAAATTTCAACAAGAGATAGAATTATTTAGAACAAATTAGAATGTAAACAACCTTTTCCCAATCAGGGGAGGTGTGGGTAATGGTACATCACTGCAAATGTAATCGGTGACTTCAACATCACAAAAAAAAAGGTGAAGACAAGTGATGGAGGACACCACACTACGTGGAAGCAAAATTAGACCAACACACAGGCTATAATACACATGTCATTGTTATCTTTTTTGCAATCTTCTTGTAATAGAAATGTGTATTTTATTGATGCTATAGTTTGTCAGGATCACAGAAATTAGATTTCTGTAGTCATTAATTTAAGCAGTTGTTTTACATATGGGCATGTTTATATAATGTTGTGAAGATTGCAAAGATATGATTGATTGCACATTGTGTACACAAATATCATTCATACAACTAACTACATACAGGTTTACTTTGTACAAGTGAAGACAGGTCATGATCTGTGAGAGGCGGATGATTGATTGCACACTTTGATTGTTGATACATTTATCAATCATACATTTCTCCGCAGGTTCATCTGTCCCAACTGAAGATAGGTCAGGATCTGTCAGAGGTGGGGCTCCATTCCTGTCTTTGAACTTGGCAACTCTGTTTATGCTGGCAACAGTTTTTCTCCTGCATCACATCCGATTCATCAGATAGATTCCACATTTGCTCAGTTTGTTAAATCTCTGCATGCATAACTAATTGATCTTGGCTGTTAGGTTGTCATTGTTACACCAGAAGTGAAGATAACTTTTAATACAAGTGTATATAGTTCATGTTTATAGAAGAGAGTTTGGGCTTCCCTGGGCTGGTTTTTTAAACAAAAATTTATCAATTTAGGATTTTGGGGCGGTTGCATGATTTTTAAAAAAAAATATAAAAATTTATTCATTTTAATAAACAAACAGATAAGGGCTTATTTAGAAATTTAATAAAAAAATTACTGAAGCTTTCGTATTCCCCCAATTCCACCTGCTCTGCTTTTTTAATTTATATTTTTTTAAGTGTGTGTTTTTTTTGTTTTTTTTCTCTCCCAATTACCTACCAGGTGGCCATTTTAACTAATTTGATTTATGCAAAGATCAAATTTCATATTCCATGAATTTCACTTCTTTACAAGATATTGATCTTAAGTGCTGGGATTTGAATTTGTTAGTTAAGAACATTTTCAACTTATAGCTCTCTGATCCAATTAACATTTCATTTCAATATTTTGATAAAACAAATTTTATTAAGGATCTGTATGCAAATTATATATATAAAAGTTTATCGAAGGTCCACAAGTTTCAATATTTCTTGTACATACATAACAGCAGTTAGGATGTGTATTATGTACATGTACATATGTGACTAATTTTTTTCTCTTAAAATGTAAATAATAGTATTTATATAAGAGCAAGTTCTAGGTATTCCTAAGATTTTGACATTCCATTGCCTCCATGTACTGTATATTTTTTATTCTTAAGACAGCAGCTCTATGTATCCTATATCTCTCATTCATAAGACAGCAGCTCGTTAGCAAGAATTACATTTCCAGTCTATGCCAATTATATTTGTCTTATGTTTGCATTAACATCTTAAAATGACTTTCCATAATAGCCCAACATGCATCTTTTTACTATTATAGACCATTATGATTTAATTGACCTGCGTTAACTAGGGTTGTGGGGATACAATGAGATGATTGAGTTGTTTCTTAAAATACATTGAAAAATAAATTTAATTTAATTTAAAAAACTATAGTGAGTTATCTGTGTGTGGTGAGGTACTGGTACCTGTGTGTGGTGAGGTAGTGCTGTAACCTAGCCTTCTGCTGGCTATTTCTAATTTACTGATATTTGTCTAAAAGGAGAGATAAAATTTTGTCACACTTCTATTGCTGCCCACAGGTACTACTTTCCAGCTAAGTGCTATTTCTTATTTTTATACCGTTTTTTCTGTTGTTTTGTTCGCTGACGAAGGCTTTCTGCCGACACGTTCGCTGTTTTGTTGCGTGTATTTTTTCAGGTTTAACCCTACTCTGTTTTACTCATTTTATTTTGTACTAACCTGATTGCAGTCTCTCCCCTTATTACCCCTGTCTTAGGCAAGCCAAGCTACCACATGAAGAAATGATCCTGTTTGTTTCTATGACTAAACTGTTGGTTTCAATGACTCTTTGTTGTTCTAATGACTAGACTATTGTTCCAATGACTAGACTGTTGTTCCAATGACTTGACTGTTTGTTGAGGTATATACTTGCCTACAAGTTGTGGTGTGATTAGACATTACCTTCTGTAAATTATATAGTGTGAAATGGAGTTGAGGATCATGTAATATGTCAAGATTTTCTATTTATAAATATTCTGTATGTATTATAAATTAAATCTTACATTTACAATATTTTATAATCTTTGTATGTCAGGTAAATATCTTGAGCGTGTTTATGTCAGGTGAATATCTTGAGCATGTTTTCAAGCTCTAAGAATATGCAATTTGTTTTTATGATTACATTGTTCTTTTAGGCATTATGAAATGGGGAAGTCACTTTACTTAGGGAAGTCAATTTTCTAAAGGAAGTCACTTTACTTAGGGAAGTTACTTTTCTTAGCGAAGTCACTTTACTCAGGGAAGTCACTTACCCTTGTCTGACAGAATCAAACTAATTTAGTTTGAGTGCAGTGTGACCACTCTATTCTACAAGCTGAATGGAAAGTATTGATGGTGATGGTTCTGTCAATGATGGTTGTGTTTGTTCTGTATGAGTTTTAATTAAACATTTCATTCTGTTTTTACAAGAAGTTTCTTGTCCTTTCTATGTGTGAGAGGTTTTCTTGTGGGAATCTTTTAGTACATGAACATAACTTTTAATGAAACCGAGAAGTTGTCGCATCAACTCAGAACTACAAGGTGTAGTTAGGTGCAGACATTGAAAAAATCTTCAAGTATCAAACATGCTAGTATCACACATGGGGGCATCACACATGCCAGTAACACAGCCACAATATCACAGCTATCACATCACAGCTACAAGGATTATGAACAGTTTGTTAGTGATGAGTGACAGCACACAGCCTGACTATGGCAGAGCTAACACTCAACTTTTTTTAAATTCCCAAGATTTCGTCAAAATATTTCCCAAGATCATGAAAATATGATTTTTTTTTTAAATCTTGGGAATTTAAAAAAAAAAAAGAGTTTTGGTCCTGAATGGGGTTGTAAATTCCCAAGATTTTGGGAAAATTCCCAAGGTGTGGCAGCCCTGGACTATGGCACTTACTGTTATGCAGATGAGATTTCAACAGGATCACAATATGTGACATATAACTACGGAGTAATTTTGAATTAAATGACATACAACTTAAGAGTTAGCATGAATCTTAAATAAAATTGATGTACAAGGCAATGCGGGAAATGTTGCAATATAATTTCTGTTATCTTTGCAATAGTTGCCCCTGTCGCAATGAATGTCTGACAAGCAGCTTGCAAACAAGTGTCTTAAAAACTAGAAAATATATTTCTTGTATTTAATGCTTAAACTATTTTTGACCCATGTGCATGTGACCAATACGATTTTTGAGAAGAAACTTACGTATGATTTCTTAAGTTACAATTTTGAATGTTAGATCCAATGAATGTTAAATGGCTAAGGATAACTTCTATTTTGTGGCTTTTTCATGGGAGATATAATGCCAGCAATGGGAGGTAATTTAAATATGATGGAAGATAATTTAATTGTAATGAGAGATCATGCACTTGTGTTGGAACTTAATACCTTCACCCTATCATCTAAAATACCTCTATTTCAATGTCTACCAAGGAACATATTTTATGTACATAACTATCTACACATTATTTAGCTGTACTAAGTCTCATGTTAAGTACATGAGATGTACACAAGACACATGTTGACATTAATATCAATGAGCATGTTGCATACACAAGTACATGTTGATATTACCAACCAAGTACATGAGTTGTACACAAATATGTTGATATTACTATCCACATACATGAGATCTACACAAGAGTCATGTTGATATTACCATTTATGTACATGAGGTGTACACACATCTTATGTTGGCACTAATTTGGATATCAAACAAAAGTTGAAAAAAACAACAACTCGAAAACATGATAATACTAAAAAAAGGTATATTTATTCTTTAGCTTGCAGCAGGTTCCTAGCTAACGGTAAATAGGTGACCACAAACAAAGATAAACAAATATTTCAATAAATTACACCAAACAAGATCAATCTGGATTAAAAAGAATTGGCTGCATGCTGTTAAACAAAATCAACAGTTATTCAAATTTATAAAGATTTGTATAATTGTTTTAATCAAGAACAATGAATGCCCAAGCTTAAGAAACGGTGTAGACCTTGACATTAAAACAAAATAAAGTTAACAATTAGATAAATAATGTCAGGGATGAAATAGTTCTAGTAAAAACATAATTAAGGGAATTTCCTAGCCAGAATTTCACAGCACATGATATATCTTTATTATGGTAAATAAAAAATTGACTTTCAAATAAATCAATGAACTTAGTGACTGCACGTAGTGACTGCAGTCAAAATAAAGGAACAACTAATACATAATAAATATAGAAAAAACTGTTGTTTTTTTAACACATCTAAGTTCAACTGATACAAGCAATGAAGATTTAATAAGCTACTAATTAATATCTAAAAATACCCACTCAATTTATCTCGCACAGTTCAATAAATTTATTTTTTTTGAATGTAGGGATACCTAACTTATGTCATATGTGCTGCATTTGCTCCCCAGGGGAACATCATGTTGTTAAATGTGATGTAAATGAAAGACACAGACTTCGGTTTAACGAAAGAAGATTTAATAACCTGAAATTCATTTTTTAAATATTTTTTTACATTTGATCTTGTAACAAGTTAAACTATGAAATCAATTCTGAACTCCTAGCACTACAACCTCTGCTCTCAACTGAACCTCTAGCACTACAACCTCTGCTCTCAACTGGCCATTTTACTGATAAGACAACAAATAAACATAAACAGTGCTTCACTCAACATAACTCTAATTTCCAAGAAGTGGTCCAACTGGTATCTTCCTATACTAACATTAAATGATGAATCTATTGAACAGATGGTTGAGTGACATATCTTGTACAGATGATTGAGTGACATATCTCATGCAAACAGTTGAGTAACATAGCTTGTGCAACACATTTCTCAAAAAAATGAAATTATCCTTAAGTTGTTTAAATTTATTTCATATTGCCATCAAAACTTTCTTGAGTTAGTTGTTTAGGCTTTCAAAATTACCCATGTTTCTATCAGAAATTTGACCAGAAGAGTGAAAACCTCAGTGAACACAACAGAATATTTACACAGAGAAGAGATTTTGTTCACAATTATTTTCAATAATTTTGAAAAAAATATTTAAAAAAAAATTAAGATCTTAAAAAAAACAGCAATAAAACCCCAAAGTTGGATAAACATTTTTCGTAATGTTGTTGAATCACTGCACAGCACTGAAAAGGTCATGTTGACCCATCACATGCCCTTGGATTCAGTAAAGGCTCAAATTGTATCACACAAATTGGTGGACAGCTCAGGCACTGACCAGGATCATGGCAAACATTTGATAGGTCTCAACAGTAGCATATGGTACTCACTGAGTCGGCAAGATGGAAACCCTTTTTTTTATCTCAGACATAAGATTTAACATATTAGTTTTGTTTGAAGAGATAGGATATTAGGTGCATCATGGGCATGATCCTAACAATAGGACCTTAATCCTAACAATATGATCTTAATTCTAACAAGAGGATCTTAATCCTAACAATACGATCTTAATCCTAACAATAGGACCTTAATCCTAACAATATGATCTTAATCCTAACAATACGATCTAAATCCTAACAATACGATCTTAATCCTAACAATATGATCTAAATCCTAACAATACGATCTTAATCCTAACAATAGGATCTAAATCCTAACAATAGGATATTAATACTACTTAAGTTTCAAATGAAAGAAACAACAACAAAAATGTTAATATAACAATGTTTCAGGTTTCTAATATACCTATTTTTGCTGACCTAATTAGGTAAGCCAGCCCACCACCCCACCAGACAATATCCTTACTTCAGTTATTTGCCTGGGACACAGTCAAGCTAAACAATATCAGATATTTAAATTAGACAGGGTTAATGACCTTTCCATTCTTGTGTGATTTAAGACTAAGAGAGATTAACTTATTTTTAGGCTCAAATCTGAGATTGACAATTTCTACCCAATTAACCTAGCTCCCTTCATACATTTATGGGTAACTACAGTCAAAAGAGAAACAATTTTGGAACATCTTTGCTTTTTCCAGATACACAACTGTGTCCACTTTACCTCTGTGTCCTCATAGCAACTGTGTCCTCATAATAACTGTGTCTCCTTTACAACTGTGTCCCCATAATAACTGTGTTTCCTTTACAACTGTGTTCCCATAGCAACTGTGTTTCTTTGACAGGGCTCTTGAACATTTTACTCAGACTCGCCTTGTTCCCAAACCCCAGCAAGTCACTTAGTAAAACAACACTCCCTAGCCTAGTGCAAATATTTATAAAAATGAAACATGTTAGAAAAGCTAGTCAAGCACCCATGACAACATCATTGTCAACTAAACAACCAAATAAACAGAAATCATACAAATGTACATGCAGACATTGTTGGCTTGGTTCAAGTTACAGAACTCTTGACCAGAAATATTTATTTTAAAAAAAAAGCTTTTTGTAATAAAACAAGTACAGCTATCTACATTCTAATATGTACAAAGCAAATGAGCTCCAGAACTTAAATTAATATATCCAGGGGTAAAATAGAAGATCAGTTAAAAAAATATGGGTAACATTTGTAATAAGGGTGGTTTATTAGGTCATGTTAGCAAAGCTTTAACTGTCTTTCCCAACTCTTTTCTTCCTCACTGAAAATAGAAGATAAAAAAATATCAGTCCCATAAGAAAAAAGCAAAAAAAAATTGTATAATTAACATATAGAAGACCATAACTGTATGAGAAAAAAAAATAAGTCCCATGAGAAAAAAATCCCACAAAAATGTATAAATGACATATAGAAGAACATAAACCTACGGTATGAGAAAAATAGAAACAATGTTTCTTAATTTTTTTTAAAGGAAATTTAACCTTGAAATGTTTACCACTTATTTCACTCTTTATGGCTGATGAAATTTTATAATAGTCTGAAGAAGGTATTCCTTTTTCTTGGAATCTAAGGATAGCTAGAGGTTTTCAGATGGGCCATATGGCACCCAGAAGGGCCACACAGCACCAAGGAGGGCCACACAGCACCCAAGAGAGCCACATAGCACCAAGGAAGCAACATTTTATTTCCTGGGGGTACCAAAACTTTGCTTATATGACTTAATGGAAAAAAAATAATTTTTTTTTTTATCTATATGAGGGAAGGGGCCACAGAAGTCAATAAAATGTTTAAGTAGGCCACATTAGTCCATAAAATGTTCAAGTAGGCCAAAGAAATCAATACAATGTTCAAGTAGGCCAAAGAAGTCAATGAAATTTTAAGTAGGCCACAGAAGTCAATAAAATGTTCAAGTAGGCCAAAGAAGTCAATGAAATTTTAAGTAGGCCACAGAAGTCAATGCAATGTTCAAGTGGGCAACTTTTTTTTTTCTATTCAAAATAACAAGCCATATTTCTAAAGCTGTCTGACCATGTCAAGTGCCATATTTATAAAGAGATATTGTGCTTAATAATTATGGGATAAAACTTAAGG